TCGAGTCCATCCCCAAGCGCAGGAGCATTTGTTTGTTGGTTCTTTGGACCCTGAGTACAGTCAGAAGTTGTTTTGATGTGACAAGTGAATAAAAGTAGTTATACTTTGAAGGCTGAAGAGTTTATGTGTATTGTTTTTTGGCTCCTTACAAAAAAAAAAAAAAAAAAAAAAAGGAAGGACAGACACAGGACCTCTAACCTTGCAGGTTCACTATTGAATTTTATTTTTCCTGCTGTCCCCCTTTAAGAAGCAAGAAATATATCCAGGCAGCTATAATACCCAAAATCTACCTGTTAAATCATTTCCTTTTTTGTACAGCCAGTTCCTCATATCATCAGTGATCTGCATTCTATACAGTTGCTTTACTGCAAAAAGTAAGACTCGGTTTTCCAAGATTACCATTATACTTTTCCATGAAGACTTAAACTTTTGAGAGCTACTCTGCCTGGATTTAGTATTCTGTCTATATCCTCACTCACACTAAGTGCCTGAAGCTTGAAAATGGCAAAGCTTCAGGTACAAAATTATTTTGTTTTAGTCAAACATACTCTGGTCCTTTTTTTCCAATTTCAAAAGCCAGTGCAAGCACTCCCATTGACAGCTTGACTTGAAATCTCAGCTGGTGTAAATTGTACAATGACATGTTATATTAATGAGAACTGAAAACATTTACCTACTTTATGGTAGTTTAAAATAAATTCAGTATTTTTAGCAGCTAAGCTGTATGTATCCCTTTCATTTCCCTGGAGCACCTTATTGGTCTGTATATCTAATCACATTGAAGCATTACCAGCGAATAGGTCAGTATGATTGTCAGTGTCTCCTGCCACGTTAATTGATTCATTAGAGTAATTGCAGAGAGTTTTCAGTGCTGAGACATTATTGCTACATTTTTTCCACACTCCTCTAAGTTTTTTTTGCAGAGAGAGTATGTGTCATTAGCTTAATACAATTAAAAAAATGCCCTTTTAATAAGTCCACTTATTATATGGAATGTGGACGTTGCACCACATTACACCTTCCTGTAGACTTGCTGATCGCTCCCTTCAGTTCACTGTGCTTCTATCAGGATCAGCAGAACTGGTAATTGTTCCCTTTAATAAGAGGCTGCTGAATATCTACACACTTTGCATCCACACAGTCTTCGTCTTGTTGACCCTGAATGATGTTTGCATATTCCTTAAATAAAGAAAAAAATACAACAATATGCTTATGTAGTATAAATGATAGTATTCCAACATAGCAAAATATTAACGCAGCTTGAAAATCTCTAATGTTCAATAAATCCCATTCTAGTCCAGAAGGGGACAACAGACAGGATTCAGTAGAATCTGCCACATTTGTTCCACCCTCTGACTCTGACTTTGGGATACAGATACTGAAAAGAAATCCATATCTGCTCATCAGTTGAGCAGTTGGGTTGGATGTATTTTATACAATCATGCATGTATCTCCAATTCAAAAATGGTGCTAGAGATGGTCATACAGGTATCTTACAAGAAATAAGGAATCAAAAAGTAGTTAAATAGGACCAAATGGGTCACCACCTCCTTTGACAGAGCATTCCAGTCTGCCTGTTCTTACTGTAAGAAAAGTCATAGTTTACTGCCCATGTTGGTTTATTGGTTTAACATTCATTCATGCATCTTCCATCCCTAATATAATGCAGCAAGGGCCTATTGTCATCCTCAACCACTTGATAATGAAAGGTTAATAAATCCAAACCATGAATGGCTACAAGATAGCCACATTCTAGATCTATTTTCCTCAGTCTATTGGACTGGCATCCACCTTTAAAAGTTTTTAACATTGCCTTAAAACCACTTCTACAATATGTCTTCCTTTCTACCCAAGTGATTTTTATCCAGCAACAAAATTCTATCACTTCTACTCACTGACATCTGATATACATGTTGCCCCACTTATAACACCATTAACCATGGACACATTCTTACCTGATTTTTGATGAGACTCATTTCCTTGTTGATGAGATCAGTTATCTGGCTAAAAGTTGGCCTATTAGTAGGTTCCAGGTCCCAGCATGCTTTCATGAGGCGATATCTGTGATAGAAGTATTCCATTTCAAAACCAATTATAGCATTAGGGTGCATTAAAGTGGATCTGTAGCTCTCCCTGAAAAGCCCTACTCTTCTACCAAGATTATTTTCTCCAAACACACAGACACAGTGTTGATAAATGCATAGTGGGTTTTTTTTTACTAAAGCTGGAGAGTGCAAAATCAGGCTCACTTCTGCATATAAACTAACCAGCTTACAGGTTTTATTGTCAAAGCTTAGTTGAATAAGTTGAGGTTTGAAGCTGATTGTCTGCTATGGACAGGTGCATCAGATTCTGATTGCACCAGCCTTAGTAAATCTCCCCGGGTAAGTCAGTAATGGGGAAAATATCAAATAAAGGAAATCGAAGCAATACTGGTGGCTGGTCCTTTTCCCTCTGCTTGCCTATTTTAGGCACAGCTTCCATAGAACAGGTACTCTTTAAAGACTGCTAAACTTATATATTGCTCAAGATTCTATGCTAATTAGTGTTTGATTCGATAAAAAATTCTGAGTGAGTTGGAAGTGGGTCAGTTATCCATATGAAAACTACTACTGTATATGACACTGCAAAATACCAATTTTCAGTTCTTCTGCTTTACTTACATGTCCAGAGGAGCATAGTCTGGGCAATCCATCTTGTAGCCTTCTTTTATCATCTTGTAAAACTTCCTGTTTACAATAATTCCAAGATAAGGGCTTCTGCCTGTAAACAAAAAATCTTGTATTTAAAAAAGTCAAGTCCACTGGTGTTTTTGTTGATTAGCAGTGTCCACATTTCTACCTAAAGAAATTCTTCTCTCACCAATGTCCACATCTCTGGTGTTTATTCACCAGTGTCCAGCACTCTTTGGCCAGTGTCCCCACTAGCCTCTTTCATGGTTCTCCACAGCCTGTCTACAAGGAGGTTCTTCCACTGTCCCCAACCGGTGTCTGCATTATGTTCTCTGGCACCTCTACCCACATTGTATGTACTACATGCTCTGGCAGCTCTACTTCCCGCTAGTGACACTGTGACTCTTTGCATATCTCCCTGTTTCTTGTTTCTGCTCCTGTTCACACTGCTTTCGACCTCAATTCTTTATGTAACACTGTCCCCTGTATTCAGCAGTACACACTGGTCTCCTTTATGTTGCATACAGTACTTGATCTCTCACAACCCCAACCCCAACCCCAACCAGATCCCCGCCACCCGACCCTTGCAGTCCTTGATCAGCTTCCATTCTGACTCTTTTCTCTTTTGATTGGGTACACATTTGCTAGCCATCCCATACAATGTAATTATATTAATAAATGTCATTATTCCTTTACCGTTGGAGTGCCAGTAAACGATCAGTTCTCCAATATCACTAGCTAGGGTAAAGACATCTAAAACTAAATCATATTCCATAAATAGCATGCAATACCATAATAAGTATTAATTTTATTGGTGTAATTGACATCATTATGATTACTTAGTGCTTACCAAGAGAGAAGATCTCCCACAGAAGGATTCCATAGGACCAGACGTCGCTTTGCACTGTATAGATGCAATCAAAAATGCTCTCTGGGGCCATCCACTTTACTGGCAGACGGGCCTTAAAATGAAAAAAAAAGTTAAACAAATCTATGGTTAGATTTTTTTGGCCTTGCACCATTTTAATCTGCTATTCAATTCTTAACAGAAAACCTATGTTCCTGGAGTTTTGTATGCTCTCCCCATATTTTGTTAAATTTAATTTGTCCCTGTGGCCCTATGCCCACCTTTCTCAACCTTTGCAACACAGAGGTACCCTTGAAATAACTTTCCGGTCTCAGGGAACCCCTGCTAAAATATATTATAACTACAACTCATGATACATTAGTGTGATGGTCAGAGGGAAGAATTACCCCCTTACAGATGGCTAAAAAGATTAATGGTGTCAGTGGGAACTTATCTGAGAGGCATAAATTGCTCATTGCTCAAGGGACCCACAGTAACCTCTGGAGAAACCCTAGGGTTCCATGGAACCCTGATTGAGAAACCCTGCCCTAATATTGGCTTGTGCCATTATGGCAATTACAACCATTATGATATCACTGCTAGTGCATTGTTCAATACATCAGAATTGCCTATGACATTTAGTGTAGTTTCTTCACAAAGTGCATGGATAGATGTATGGCATATAAACGGAGGTACTGAATGCAAAAGTGCATCCATTATTTTAGTCCATGCAGTTTTAATTTTCTGTCAGAACTGTTAAAGTGGGAGTCTGACTAAATAAGCAATTCATATAAACTGTACCACTGTGAAAGGGCAGGTCCCACAAAATCTTATCAACAGGCCTTGGCTGCTGTCAGATTGGAACTGATATCTTTTATCGCATAGTTAACAGCACAAGTGTAGGGCATCCAGGGCAGAGGTTATTGCTAAGTTCCTAAAAAATCCCCCCCAAAAAACAGGGGCACCCTTGGCACTTGGACCGACATGTTGCAGGGCTTGTAGCATACCATGGCAAAAGATGTTGAGGCTTTATCTTGTCCCACATTATCATCCAATCTCCTTTCCTTTTCCTGTCTGTTTGTTATCCCTTTCCTATTACACTTTTCGTCCATTAGTTCTTTGGCCCTTTCCTCACAGGGGTTCCAAGACAAAGAACCCAGACACGCAAATACTGAAGACGAGTTCTCAAGGAGTTGTAAATGTAATTTTATAAATATAACAAGACTGATATTAAAACGGACACTTTTCATTGTTGACAAATGAGAATGTATATACCAAAGTTCAGCAAATATGGAAAAAATTACTGCAATGAACACCCAGCGCACTCTAGCAATGTCTCTGGCAGGATAAGATGAGAATACAGAACTAGGGGTTAGTTTAGAATTGAGATTTAGGTAAGATTAGTGTTAGGCTTATGGGTTAGCAGGTTTAGGTGTGGTGTTAGGGTTAGAATTGGGGAGACACAGGGGTGGACTGACAACTTATGGGGCCCCTGTGTCCTTGCCCAAACTCAAAAATGCCTATGAAAAAAAGGTACCAGGGGCATCTTATGGGGCCCCCTACTGACCCCGGGCTCTCGGGCAGTGCCAGAGTTTCCAAATGGTCAGTCCGCCCCTGGGGAGACATGTTAAGGCTTATGTTAGAGGTAAGGTCTAATGTTAAGATTATGGCTGGAATATTGCCCTGTTCAACTCTAGAAGGTCACTGTGCAAGCCATGGCTATCCTACTAAGATAGTTGGGTGGATGGGGGATGAGGGGTTTGTGGTTAGCATAGACTAGTTTAGTAAGGCTAGCATGGTTAGCTTTATGTATTCTTTTTGAGCGGTATAGTTGTCTTTTAACAATAATATGAGAATTCTATAACATAGAAAAAGTTGTGCTTTTTTAAGAGAGTTGGATGATTTCCTGATATACCTGTATATCTGGCTCTGTCAGTTATTTTTCGACCACTGGTTTGGCAAATGCAAATTATTAGTTCACCAATAGTTATTAGTGTCACTGAGCCATAAAACAGTGGTTATACCCAGGTGGCTGTTTCTTCCTGTAAGAGCTTACATATAGAGCAAATGTCACAGTAGACACAGTTGTGATGTGCGTACTTTACAGCTTTTACCACAGACAGGGTGACATTATCATAAAGAGTAAGACCAGATCCATCTTTATGCTGATTGCTGTAAATACAGATCTTTTCCTACTTGGTCAGCACTATATCAGCAGAATACAAACAGGAGTTTCTGTTTCTATATTGGAATTTTGCTATTAAAGTTGAAATATCACCCACAAGAACAGAGGTTGTGGTCTCATTTAACATCTACTGTATATTCACAGGAATATTGCGATATATTCAGTAATCATTTAAGCTCAGCTTGTGCACCATTGCTTGTACCTCCACAGACTGCTAAAAGTATGTTTTGGATACAACAAAAATGCCCACAAGTACTGCCTTCAGTTGTGTCCATTATCGAATTGTGTAGCACTTGTGCACTCATCAAGCTCCATGTCACTTTATCTATCAGGCCACAGTAGACCACTGCTGTCAATTTCTGCCTCAAGTAGTCAAATAAACCTAACCTGAAGCAATGCACAGATTGACTCCAGAAAAGAGACATCCCTACCGGCAAAGAGACATCCCATCCAGCACAGAGACAGCCTAATCCACCGCCACTACAAACTGGTTGTCACAGTGTGCCAGCCGGTGAACGAGAGAGGCCACTGTTGTCCTTTCAGTGCCGCAGTGTCTGCAGCAGCCAGCCCAGGAGGTGTCTGTGAAACCCCTGCAGGCACTTTCCGTTTGTAGCTGGAGTCGTCTCTGCCTCTCCTCCTGTCAGCTCTGCTTTAGGCATAGCTGTATAACGAGAGGTAAGCAACCTCCTGCTGTGCGGCCCTGTCATCAACAGGCCGCTCTTCTTAGGCACTGGCCCGCTGGGCAAATGCCAGGTGTGCCCTCTGGCCAGTCCAAGCCTACACACACACACACACACACAGACAAGCACATATATGTTTGAAACGGAAAATTCTTGTATTTCAAATTTGTGAAATGTGTTGTGAAATGGTAATTGAATTTGTTTTCACTTAATCACTTACATGAGCTACAAAGTAGCATGTAAGTGACTTAATTGTACGGATTTCTTGGGTATCACTACTTAGCTGAGATGAGTGGCTAGAGATGGAGGTTATGACTTTGCTGCTGACTTTTCACAAGAAGTTGATATTTGCATATCAGTAACAATGCAATTTAGTTTTGTTAGACTACACAGTTTGGGAATGAGTGTATTTGAAATGCTGATGGAACGGCTTCCAAAGGTTCCCCTATGTTTACATGCTTGGGTTTTGGAAGGGATTATTTAAATTACATTTTTTTTTTTTAGTACGTTGCACAGGAACAATAATATCAACTAGAAAAGCTACAATTTCTGGGGAAATTGTGTGAAGTGTTCTGGCCTCCACCAGTAGTCTACAACTAGAGTGGGTGGAGTAACTGGGTGGAGTGGCTTGAGTAACTGTTGTGTGGTTGGAGTGGCTGGAGTAACTGTGAAAAGGTTGGACTGGGCAGAGTAACTTTATGGAGTGGGCAGAGTAACTGTGTGGAGTGTTTGGAGTGAGTAAAGATAGTAAACATTACACTAAGCAATTGATTGATCAAATTTTAAAAGTGCACATGGACAAGCTTGATAGAGTGGGAAATGCATTTCAACTTTTAATTATTTATATAGTACATTTAATTGCAATGTTGTTGCCCAAAGTGCTTCACAGTTACATTAAAACATACATTTATAAAAACATTAGCAGCATTATCACCTCAAATACTCTCTACTGTAGAAAACTTATTTCCAAACCTTTAACCAGAAACCGGCCAAACTGTCATGAATTCAAAATTAGATTTCAAATACGACAGAGAAGAACGGTTAAAAACAAACTGCTCCAAATTGCTCACTTCACTGGCATCTTCAAATGGTCGTAGTTTTAAAAACTATGAATCCTACAGCAAAGAGCTTTATATTGTGAGAATCATAAGACTCAAACCTACATTTTGATGCATAGTATATCTCTGAAATATTAAAAATGAAGGCATAGTCACAGTTTAGAAATTGCCCTTCAAAGTAAAGTTTCAATGAATGTCAATGGGCAGCGTGAGTTGCAAACAAATGGTCATATTGTGAAAACTATCAGGATTATGGCTTAGCCATGGACATTTTTAGTGGCAGCAGGGATAGCTGAACGGTTTGATATAAGATTTGTGTAGGTGGGCTTGAAAATGAGGGAGTGATGGCAGCTTAGAAATCATGTCCTGATTTTTCAGCTCACACTCTCTTTTGTCAGCTCCCACTCTAGTTTTGAACATTCCGCCATTCATTCCTATGGGACCAATTTCACCACAAAAACACGATATTTCGTGAACCATTTGGTGAAATGTTCCACAAAGTAATAGCACACCAATGGGGAACAATCCGCACGTTTCGGTATATTACTGTCTATGTAGTATAAAAACTGTGGGAGGAGTTAGGGTGGTAAATTTGGCTATAATAATAAGAATATATATGTGAGATAACAGTAAGTGGTCTTGCCATGCAAGAAATTAACTAACTGATGGCAATACATTTTTATAATTTTCTGCACAATGGTACACAAGTTAGGTTTTACTGTAGACACTGATGTCTACAGTGGTGCAGGACATACAGTATGGCTACTGAAGAACTTGGGAAGAGTTCCAAAAAAATATGAATAAAAAGATGTTATCTCAACAGATATTGTCTACTCAAGAAAAAATAATTGCTTACATTTCCTTTTACAACATAGTTGCTATCATTCTCGATGTCCCTGGCCAGTCCAAAGTCACAGATCTTGACAACACGTCCCTGAGATATCAACACATTTCTGGCAGCAACATCTCTGTGAATACACTGTAAGGGAAGGCATTGAAACATAAGATTTCCACTCAATACAATGTCCACTCTATAGTACAGTATGTCAAATGTTGCCTATTTTAAATATATTAAATTATTTTTGAGGAAATTGAAAGCAGGTCTTACCAAATGGTCCAAATATAATTTATCTTGGATGGGTAAAATTATTACAGTTACAATGCCACTCCTCAAATTATTGTACTACATCAGTGTTCCCTCCCCATTCTAATACCTATGGAAACTTTAAAGAATTTACAGTCTACAATAATATAATTGATCAGGTGTTCACATTGTTGTAGGCTCTTCTGTGAGGTTTTACACTTCAGGAGGCAACCAGGGGGACTTGGAGTCCCTCACATAATGTATTATTGCCTGTCACAAATTGCACAACTTTCCATCTTCTATTCTACCAAATACTCTCCTGATTGGGTTATAATGGAGGCAGAGTGGGGCATATCTAAAAGATCTAATGTGAATAACTTAGAAATAGAGACCACCTACAGTATAATGTGCCCGACTCTGTCTCCCTCTATGAAATTGTGGGATAATACTTGCAAATGTGTTTCTCTTAGATCTCCCCACTCTCCATTGTCTTGTTTCCATTTTTTTTCACATATGCTATAGTCTGCATTTTTTATAGAAATTAAGTTTAAACCCCCCCAAACAATTATATATTTTCTGAAAGCAGAGACACTTGACAATAAAATTGCAGTTGCAATTTTTTATGTGGCAAAATATTTGTGCAGCTATTTATTAAACGCATATTTTCAGAAACAAATACACTAAAATGAATTTTAGTGCAAATAAACACAATAGTATACCCACATTTTTGGTAAAATATAAAAGATGGTGTTGTGTCAATTAAATAAATATGAAATATGTCAAGTCTCAAATTGCGTGCATCTATGAAATCACAAAAAAAATACAGTAACCAAAATTCCCCATAGGCAATGCTTTAAAAGCCTTTACAATTTATCATTTCAGAGTTAACCAAGAATTATGGCTCTAAAATTATTTCTGTCACTCTGATGTTCACAGTGCTACCTTATATATGTGATGTCATTTATGTTTACATACAGTATACATGGGAGCCCTAAACATTGCATTTGCATTGGGGTGCATATAGGGGCAATGGGTGTGCTTTTCTATTTTTTTTTCATATATATATATTATAATTTTTAAAAACACTTTCTTATGTTTTCCTTCATTTAACGCTATTGTTATCACATGGGGGCTACAAGCCCCCTATTTGATAGCATGGGCAGGGGACAGACTACAGTTGCCAGGGAATGGCAGTGGAGAGCAGAACCTGGAAGTGTGCGGCGAGAGGGGGTGTACTTTAAGGGCCCTGTAAAAGTGGTCAGACGGTTCTAGAGCCTTCAGGGTTACTTTTACCCGAGAGCCCATTGCCAGCTCTAAAAAATCCATGCAAGCTCAACGCTGTAGCAGCAGCAGCAATGAACATGCTTTAACACCTTGAATACCAGAACATTTATAAACATACCTTGATAAGCATGGGGTTAATAAAGGCCTTTATAGGGTATATTATTATATAATGTAGAAGGGGCTCATGGATGCCACACGCCAATTACATAACTGAATATGCTCTAGGCAGAGACATTTTGTTGGCACCAACTTTCAAGTTACTTGTATAGTATGGCACAGAAAGTTACAAATGTAACTGCCATGTCTGCTTATGAGCATGTGGTATCTTGGGTACAAGGGAACCATCTCTTAGTTGTATAAAAAATTTAGTTAATTCTTTTAATTCCCCTAATAAAGTGCCACACCTTCTGGCATGAGAGAGGGATTTGAGTACTGAAGTGGAACCAGAGTACTGGCCCAACTAAATTGACAGAATATATATTAAAAGTATTCTAAATATGTTTCTGATGGAGGTGATTAAATAATTTTTTCTAGATGGTACTTGGTACTGACTAGACTTGCCAAAAATGTATCCGGATTCCTTTCCCCTCTTTTTTCGACAGTGTGGTCAAACAAGGGACGTATCTCGTGATGGCACGGTCTGAAGGTGAAATTCTTCTGGATCTGAATTTTCACTCTCATATATACAGTGACAGGAATAAAAAGAGTGATGTGCTATATAAATTCTGTATAATAATTATGTGTCCTGAAAACAGTTTGGACAGCCTTATCAAACAAACCCATTTCAGGAATTCCTGAGTCCTCTCAGATTCTCATCTTTTTATTTGTCGCTGCTTAAAACAGCCATTGCTAAGGGGTACAAAATCGCTGTGTAAAGCTTAGAGTTTATGAAAAACAAATTATCCCGGATCATGATCTATGAAAATCTAGCTAGTATAATTAAATATAAACAAAAACTTTTTTCGAGAACGTGGGAACCCTGGACAAAATACATGCAATTGACAGGCTGAGACCTTATGAAGGATGGAATGATTTGATTTTTTTCTTATGCTATATAGTTTTGGGAAAGGTGGAGTCCTGAGTTGCAAAGGGGAGAAAGCGGACTGATGGGTGGCATTTTTTTCATGCTCCCTTTTTTTGTTTCCATGAGTTTTGATGGGAATCGGAGCTGGGGCACTTCTCCTATTGATCTTGTATTGTTCGTTTGTTCCGTTTATGCAATGTTACAACAACCTACACTAGAATACTGACCATGATCCTGGATCATACACTGTGAGTTGAAGTGATAGGTGCTGAATAATAGTCATATGTGAAAGCTAATTATTGATTCCACTTCATTAATCATAGGTACAGGATCTTATTTATAAACAACACACCAATGTACTGTATCCAGTTATTGTTTTTGGTCAAATGTTACTATGGGGGTTATATACTAAAACAGGAGAGTACAAAATTTGGTGTAGCTCTGCATAGAAACCATTCAGCTTCCAGGTTTTATTGCCAAAGCTTAATTTAACAAGCTGAAGTTATAAGCTGATTGGCTACCATGTACACAGCTACTCTGGATTCTGAGTGCACTAGTTTTAGTAAATCTCCCCCTATATTTTTGTATTATTTCTTTTACAAAGTGTATCCGTTTGTTTTTTCTGGTGTATTGGCTTGATGTATCAGACATTCTGGTATGTAATGTTGATTGCATTTCTAAATTGTAATACAAACTATCGAAAAGAAAATATTCAATAAGTAAACTGGTCACAAACCTAACAAATGTAAGCTGAGCTTAAGCTGAAAAAATGCAGACTCTACCTTCAGGGAAGTCTGCATATCAAAATGATCAATACATCCATTGATTGAGGTAACTCAAAACCTTCACCTTCTTGTAAAACTTGAGCTTGTCTCTAAGAAAGCCTATTATAATGTAGCATCAATAAGAGGTATCAGGGTGCAGCAAAGTGCAGAGTCAAGGATAAATCAAAACTGCAAATACAGTTGACTGCACTTACCGGCCACTTTACTAGTACTGGGCTGGACCCCCTTTTGCCTTCAGAACTGCCTTAATTCTTCATGGCATAGATTCAACAAGGTGTTGGAAACATTCCTCAAAGATTTTGGTCCATATTGACATGAGTTACTGTTGCCTCATCTCAAACCGCTCTGCCCATTCTCCTCTGGCCTCTGACATCAACAAGGCATTTTCATCCACACTACTGCCGCTCACTCAATATTTTCTCTTTTTCAGATCATTCTCTATAAACCCTAGAGATGGTTGTGTGTGAAAATCCCAATAGGTCAGCAGTTTTTGAAATACTCAGACCAGCCCTTCTGGGATCAACAACTATGCCATGTTCAAAATCACTGAAATCCCCTTTCCTCCCCATCCCCATTCTGATGCTCGGTTTGACCTCCAGCAAGTCATCTTCAGCATGTCTAGATGTCTAAATGCATTGAGTTGCTTATGATTTGTTTAGTTATACATTTCATTTCTCACTACTCTGCATATAAGCTGTATCAAAGTGCATTAGAATGTTCAAAGTAGCTTGTGTGTAGACACGTTTTGTTGTATAATCTGCCATTTCAGACTAGGGAAAAGCTAGCTTCAATGTCACACAATGGTATTACTCAACAGGTAGGCTGCCTTGTACAGTATAACAGGATAATTCTTCCCCATCCTGTGCAACAATGCTTCAGTTACTTAGTTATGTTGAACCTTTGAAATGTTTACCAATAAATTATTTTAACTTCTCTACTGCATTGTCCATTGCATGTTTTATCAGACGATCCTTTAAGTGTTAGATATGATGACTTACATTCTTAGAGGCCAAAAATGACATTCCCTGTGCAATTTGAAGTGAAAAGTTCAGAAGATCATGCAGATCCAAAGGCAAATAATCATCTGTGTCGTCCTCAACTTCATTCACTAAAGAATTTCCTGAAATATAATGGGTTTTTTTTATAGCTTGAGTGCATGAAGACTATAACATGTACAGGAGCTATTTCTTTAGCAGCTGTAAAGCATTTCCAGTTATATGATTTCCACAGTGACCAGGTGTTGTATTTTAGCTGATTATGAACTGTTTGCTACAACATGTTATTGGTTCTTTTAACATGGTGACATAAAGCTGGCTTCTTAAAAGGATGCAATATTAACATTTATGGATACATGGACACTTGTCTGGCCCCTTAATCATCTCTATGGTGCTCTTTGGACTGTATTCCTATTTGAGTCCCTTAGGGTCGTTATTGCAAATCGTAACTATTTAGGCTTCAGTTATATTACATGGATCATTTTGTTCTATTTGATCAGTCTGTTTTTGATGCCTCCTTTGTTCCCTCTGTTTTTCTTGGTTTTTGTATTTAAAAAATATAAATAAAGAGTGCAAAAAAAACGAGAGAGACCTATATTGATAGAAAAAAAAATCACTATCCCCCTTACTATCCAAATGCAACAGTAGAAAAAAAAACTCCCTTATGCAATGCAAGGCCCAGGATGTTGCCTTCTTGTACTATAGAAAAGGCTGGTAAAGGGTAGCTTGCAACACTCCGAGGGAACCACCCTGATCATGACATGCTTCTACATGTTCCATAATTGTTGGCATAATATATGTCAGGGAATGCTAGAAAGATTTATATCCCTGTGGGAGCCCAACAGACACAAGTCAGTATTTATCAGCCTCTGCTTTAGGTAATATATTTCCTTACAGGTCTGTACTTTCTATCTATCTTATGTAATATGCCTAAGTAACATACCTTGTGTTGACTTGTTGTTGGAGGTTGCTGGTTTCATATCAACATAAGTGGGCATGCCCTCACTCCCAAATCCACTGTCGCTATAAATAAACATGAATAAAATAGCAAGGAAGCAAAACACATAAAAGTTATACAAAAATGTAAACAGACAACATTCAATTGAAAAAGTTGCTGTGTACCAATATCTTAAATACACATAAAGAACTGAAATATGAGACTTTCAAGGTACTATGTGCTGTCGCTTCAATTGGTTTCTTCCAGAGACAGATTACTACAATTCAAAATACTGCACAGGATTTATCTAACTCTGTTAAGTTCATGCATGATATACTCTTCCACCCTTGCACACCGTTGGAGGTGTCTCCAAGAGCCTGGAGGTTATTGTATTGTGTTTACGGAAATGCCCAGCCATGCAATCATTCTGGTCGGATATAACACATTTCATTTTAGCAGTGACTACCATCTCAGTCACTTGCTTGTTGAGTCTGGTGGAACCACTGGCCCCCGCTCATACAGCCAGGACATTTTTAGGTCTTCTTTCATTGTATGCTAGGAAAGCTATTGTATTAAAGTACACCTTAGCACCACTAAATTTATACAGACACTCCCGCTTAGGGCAAGGTGGCTACACTAACATTTTAAGAATGATGTGATCTCAATTATATATGGTACTTTGAAAGTCAAGTTGATAAATTTCTTTATGTACATTTAACTAAAATAATTATTCTTTCAGTTGTGAGCAAAGCATTGTGTTTTTGTAATTCATGTTTCTACTAAGGGGGCATCCATCCTAACTTGTTATAAAAATACATTCAGGAATGTCTTAGAACAAACAAGTTGATAATGCTGGTGCTCCTGGTGACCTTTGTCACCAGGAGAGATTGGGTTGTTAAATCCATACCTTTCCAGCTGTTACAAAAACAAGCAGGAATAGAGAAGAGGTCTTCTAATGTTAAACTAGTTTTGGTGACAAGTGTCTAAATGGAGATTACATTTTTTTCATAAAATAATAGTTTTGGGCTTTAGCTTTCCTTAACCACTAGCCTACAGGACACTTATACCCCCTTACTGCCCAGGCCAATTTCCAGCTTTCAGCGCTGTCACACTTTGAATGACAATTGCGCAGTCATGCAACACTGTACCCATATAAAATTTTTATTATTTTTTTGAGACAGATAGAGCTTTCTTTTGGTGGTATTTAGTCACCTCCTGGGATTTTTATTTTTTCTTAAACAAACCAAAAACCACTGAAAATATTGAAAAAAAAAAACGTTTTTTCTTAGTTTTTGTTATACAATTGTGTAAATAAGTGATTTTTCTCCTTCACTGATGTGCGCTAATGAGGCTGCAGTGATGGGCACTGATAGGCTGCACTGATGGACACTGATAGGTGGCACTGATGAGGAGGCACTGGTAGGTTGCACTGATGGGCATTGACAGGCATCACTGATGGGCACTGAAAGGCAGCACTGATACATGACACTGATACATGGCACTGATAGGCAGCACTGATAGGCAGCACTGACTGGCACTGATAGGCGGCACTGACTGGCACTGACAGGCGGCACTGAATGGCACTGATGCGCACTGATAGGCGACACTGACTGGCACTGATAGGTGGCACTGATTGGCAGCAGATAGGTGGCACTGATTGGCATTGATAGGTGGCACTGACTGGCACTGATGGGTGACATTGAAAGGCAGCTCAGATGGGCACTGATATGTGGCATTGATGTGCACTGGTATGCACTGATATGTGGCACTGATGGGCACTGGCACGTGGCACTGATAGGTGACAGGTGAGCACTTCTGGGGCCACACTGATCATCAGGGCACACTGATCATCAGTGCCCTGATGATCAGTGTACATGTCCCCTCCGCGGAAAGCCGATTACCGGCTCTCCTCTCCTCTCAAGCTGTCAGCGTGACAGCTCGAGAGGAGAGAAATGCCGATAACCGGCATTTCCGTGTTTATATGTGTTAATCACAGCTGATCACATGACCGAGCCGACATCTTCAGCTCGTTCCGTGATCCGCTGTGTCCGAGGGACACAGCGCACCGGCAATCGCCGCGCTGCGCGCTCCCTGAGCCGTGCATGCGCAGTGAGAATGGTAGGACATCATATGACGACCTATCAGAACGAGAGAACCACCTTGCGCCCGTCATTGTACTATAGGGCGGGCGGAAGGTGATTAAACTGCTGTAAGCTATTGGAAATGATTACACATTATCATTGGTCTTTGTCCACCATTACAAGGAAAGCCAATAATATATTTCCAGACTGTCCCATATTTTGAACCAAATATCTCTCTCCACAGTTGTCCCTTCTATTGTCTGATGAATAGACTTTCTTTAACCACTTTAATATCGGGTACATTCACCCCCTTCCTGCCCAGGCCAGTTTTCAGATTTCAGCGCTGTCACACTTTGATTATGCAACACTGTACCCAAACTAAATTTTTTTTATCATTTTGTCCACACAAATAGAGTTTTCTTTTGGTGGTATTTAATCACCACTGAGTTTTTTTATTTTTTTGCTAAATAAATAAACAAAAAAAAATGTTTTCTTTGTTTCTGTTATAAAATTTTGCAAATAAATAATCTTTCTTTGGATTTAGGCTAAAATGTATTCTGCTACATTTGTTTGGTAAAAATAACCCAAATCAGTATATAATATTTAGTCTGTAGGAAGGTATAGAGTCCACAAACTATGGGATATATATCTGAAAATTGATCAGTCCTGATGTTCTGACGGCTGATCTCATTTCTTGAGGCCCGAAAACACCAGGACAGTACAAATATCCCCCACATTACCCCTTTTTGGAAAGTAGACAGTACAAGGTATTTAGTAAGAGGCATGGAGAGTTTTTTAAAGTAATTTTTTGTCACAATTTTTAAAAAAATGAAGAAATTTTATAAGTTTGTCAATTTTTTAAGTTACATACTGTCACCAGTGCAGTACAGTGTCATCATATAACTGGTGTGGCGGTGATCAGGGACACTGACTGCTGACAGTATGTTAAAAAAAATTAGAATTTTTAAAAAAATGTTTTTGCTTTTTTTATTACTTTTTAATTTTTATTTTTACAATTTCTTTACATACTGTGACACGTGCAATACAATGTTACCATAGTAAAATTGTACTACTCTAGGGAGGTGATCAGGATAATTTTGTTTACTCATTATGATTGCTTTCACTTGTATAAACAATCATTTTTACCAAATAAAATGCATTCATTCAGTGTGTTTTGTTGTGATTAGCTGTGATTGGCCATAGCTAATCATATGGTACAGATGGACTGTGATTTGCCCTGTCTGTTCCATGTGATCACTGTGACCAAACACAGCGGGCAACACAATAGAACACAGGGGACAGCATGCATAAAAGCAATCCATTGTGTACAATTATCATGTGATCTGCTGTGATTGGCCACAGCGATCACATGGTATCGACAGTGGGCCAGTACAGTGATCTGTCACTAATTGTGTCTAGTGGTCACAGCAGGTAACAGATCGCGCCACAGCGCAGCCTGTGGGGCCCATGTGAGGTGCGTTCTGGGGATAAGTCATGTGACATCCACCCAGAACAAGAGAACTCCTGCCTGTCCGTCATTTGTCTATAGGTCAGGTGGGAACTGGTTAAAAATAATAATTTATGTACCAAAAGTGTTGTACTGCACTAAAACTTTAATCCAACCTCTAAACTATTGCATTTGTCATTTAAAAGATGATATAAAAAGAAAAGTACTTGTGAGTTTAACCGATCATGTTTTGTGTAATTATTCTCCATGGTCTGTGTAACTGGGAGCATGGTAGGGGAGTATCCTTGCCTACATACTGCACTAAAAGGTGTCTCTCTTTGTCATTTTTAAAAGTAAGGCTGGTTGACCAATATCCATATAAACTACTAACATATGGACATTTCAAAGAATACCTGGTCACATATTTTTGCTCCACTGAGATGTTTTTGTAGTTGCCGGAGGAATCAGTCAGACAGGCTGTAAAAATATCATTCATTGCCTCTGCTTTTCTCCTCAAGAAGTTCAGAAGGTCACCATGTGGACAGTATTCTGTGATCACCAAAATCGGGCCTAGGACAAAAAATATGAGCATTGCTTCAAATGTTATGTCAGTGTGTGTTTGTAGATACAACAGATTAGTGTCAATTAAATATAAAGGCAACAATCTAATCTGGAGTTGTACAATGCTGCTGCAAATAAAAGTTGTGAAACAGCAACATGCATAGCATAGCAAAACTGGTCATCTGCAAATTGAGGATTGTTGACTCTTTATGTTACGTTAACACAATTAAATGCAGTCAGACAAGCTATGTTAAGGGAAACTATTCATTTTAATAGGCTACCAGGCATCCTAAATGCATAAAAAATTTACCTGCAAAATGTATTAACAATGCAGCACAACCCAGCGCATTACGGTGCACTATAGCGCAGGTGAGTTTTGCTGTACAGTATATGTGAGTTGGAGTGTCATTCATTCTCAACACACTACTGTATACCAATGGGATAGCTCCCAACTGCTACACATCCCTATGAACATTTTTGGTTTTCTTTGACCCTCTTTTTTTACATTTGTTATTTTGAATAGCCCAGAATAAAGAAAAATATTATTTTTTTACTCTCCATGAAGTCCATTGAGGCACATAACAATTATTTCTCAGACTGTCAGTTTATACTGCTGCCTACAGGAGAAATGGACACAGACAACAAAAACCATTAGCCAACACAGAATAATCCCACCCACAACCATCATGTCTCAGTTTTTTGTAGCAAAGTACTATAGATAACATGAAAATAAAGCAAAGAGGACTTGAGGAAAAGGAATTTACCGTGAGTACAAAAATCCTACTTTCCTTCTCAGAAGCAGTCCAACTGAGGGATGGGCAACATATCAACAAAGGCTAGCAGACCCAAAAAAAAAACAAAAGGAAACTGAGGACTCATTTTAGATCAAAGAGCTGCCTGAAAGGCCCAGCATCCAAAGTCCACATCAAATGAGGCCTGAATATCCACTTGGTAGAAGTTATGAAAAAGAAAACACAATCTAGTAGAATGTATCTTGACAGGAAAGGGTGGCACCCAAGTCCATAAGTTTGGATGATGGTCTTCCTGAAGCACCAAGAGATGGTGGATTGAGAAGCTGGGGTACCCTAATGAGGTCCATCTGAAATTACATAAGGAGTCAGTTTTCCTGAACAAAGTATTGGCTGTTGAATAGACGTACGCAGCTCGAAACACATCGACAATGGAAAGGAATTTTCATTTTGGTGAACTGGAGCCAGATAGAAGAACAAAAGAACAATGTCCTGGTTGAGGTGAAAGGAAGAACTACCTTAAACAAGAAGGTTGCAGTATACCAAGACAGTCTAAGAATTCCTAAGAATTTACGCGGTGTAAGAAAGTAATGTTGGCAAAAAAAAAGCACATGTGACTTTGACCAATCATTTTCTGCGGATTAATTGTAACAGGGAGCATAGCAAGGGTATGGCCTTTGTCTATGTACTTGTGCTAAACAGTGTTCCTTTTTCTCATCTCAAAAAGGTAAGAGGTATGGTCAGTAACTTCCAAAAAATGTGTTTGCTTTCCATTAAAGAACAATTATCCTGCCTGTCTAGCTCCCTTATCTAAGCATCTTCCCAGATGCTTAAGCCTGCCAGACATGGATCAAAATTTGGCCAGTTCAGCAGGGAATGGCTGGTTGTACAGAAGTTGATCTACCCATTAATTTATGTACATCCAGCCTGTCAAGTTTGAACAAAAAAAAATTGGTTTATGTATGGCCTGCCTTATATACTAAAATCTGTCAGCCTTGGCCTTTGGAAATGTTTATAGCCTGCGGTCAAAATCTTCCTTGCTGCTGGCAGCAGATGTTTGGTAGCATCATAAACATCAGCATACACTGCTTTTATTGTATTTCCAGTAGCAAAGAAGATTTATGCCACAGGCTGTAAATGTCGTAGAGGGCCAACACTGTCAAATCTGGTAAGTATGCATCCAAGAAACGTGAGGATCATATATTTTAGGTCAGGGCTGCTAGGCAAGCTGGGTAGGCGAACTGTATATATAATAGTGCGCTTATCTTTTATTAGACAGCCAATGGTTTATATTGTATATCTACTGCATTTGTAAACATAAACTAAGAGCCCAGTAGGAATGTGATTAGTACTATCTCAGTAATTAGAGCCAAGTTCTTAATGTGTATAGCCTGTCAGTTTATTTTGATTTACTGGGATTGGCTTCCATGAACCATTTTCAAAATGTGCAAGGGCACGTAAGGCCATGTATAGGCTGTGTCTAAGCACCAGGGGTTTATGATGGAAGCAGAGTGTTGACTCAGAGACAGTAAGTCTTGGAGAACTCCAGCTCCGACTTCCTTTTTCTGCATTCTGTCGGCAGCTCCAAGTGAAGCAAGAGCTCCTGTTAAGTCTCAAGGACATTTCTACAATGAAAACCTCACGCACCACAGCAATAAAAAATTAGACTAAGACTGTGCTGTGCTAAAAGTAGATATAAAACCTGAATGATGCAAATAGAAAATTATAGTGTAGAGACAGCACTATGTCAGTGTACCATTAGTTAACAAATCACATTTTTAAGAGTGTTTTCCATCAGTCAGCTAATGTTGCAATCCGTCAAGGCACTACAATCCCTTCACCCCTTGCACCAGTCTGGTGGCCTGGGGCCACTGTTGCTGTTAATCAGAAGTTTAGATGCGTAAAGCTGGCCAGGACAGCATTGATGTGGACATGGACAGCCGCTTCCTCCACAAGAACTGCAAACAATAGACACTGCATCACTTTATACCTCTATTGTTTAGCAGCAGTAGCCAAGAGGAAGGGTCAGAACATTGTGGACAAGGGGCGTATTTACCACAAGGCAAACAAGGCATTTGCCTAGGGCGGCATTTTCAGGGGGGCAGTGGGATCTTTCAGGGGGGCAGCACCGCTTCCCCCCCTGAAAGAAGGGATGGAAGAAGGGACACACACAGCGTGGGGACCAGGTGGGATCTGAGAGAGGCTGCGGGCTGCTTGATGGTGTATACAAAGCCTGACTCTGGTTCCTGGGGATGTCCGGAGCTGTGAAGGTAAGTGTCTCCTCTCTTGCATGGGTGGGGAGGGGTGGGGTTGCCAGAGTATGCGGGGAGGTAGTCAGCCACTTCCTCCACAAGAACTGAAAACAATAGACGCTATATCACTTTATACCTCTATTGTTTAGCAGCAGTAGCCAGGAGGAAGGGTCAGAACATTGTGGACAAGTGTTATGCAGGGGCGTATTTACAACAAGGCATTTGCCTAGGGCGGCATTTTTCAGGGGGCAGTGGCATCTTTCAGGGGGGCAGCACTGCTTTCCGCCCTGGAAGAAGGGACACACATAGCATGGGGACCAGGTGGGATCTGAGGGAGGCTGCAGGCTGCTTGACGGTGTATGCAGAGCCTGACTCTGGTTCCTAGGGATGTCCGGAGCTGTGAAGGTATGTGTCTTCTCTCTCGCAGGGTGGGGAGGGGTGGGGTTGCCAGTGTATGCGAGGAGGTGGTAGTGGAAAGCTCTCTTGGGTGGGGGGGGGGGGGGCTGGTGTGTTGTTGGTCATTGTCAGGCTCTCTTCATGGGGGAGGGGGGTGTTGGTTGGTGTCAGGGTGGGGGGGGGAAGATTTTTGTGTTGCCTAGGGCAGCACAAAACCTATATACACCACTGGTGTTGTCATTCACAGAAAGAAAATGACTATAAGATCGACAGTTAAAATTCTAATCCAGAAAATGAAATTATAAACACCACTGAGGTTAGGTTTACATCTGTGCGGGTGGTACCACTGCGGATCCACGCGAAAATCCATGCAGCCGCACCACCCGCACAGAGGAATGCAAACCCACAGGCGGGTGCCAATAGTTCTAATGGCACGCAGCCCGCACTGGAAAACGCAGCTGTACTGGTAACAGAGGTTCCCGTGTGAGAAAAGTTAAAGTAGTATTAAACCCTCGATGTGTTTTAGTTTAACCACTTGCCCTCCAGAGGATTTACCCCCCTTCCTGACCAGGCCATTTTTTGCGATACTGCACTGTGTTAATTTAACTGACAATTGTGCGGTCATGCAACACTGCACCCAAATTAAATTTATGGCCTTTTTTCCCACAAATAGA